CTCTGAGCACGTGAGGAGGAAGCCACTGTTCAAGAAGTGCTTTGTCACAGTGACTGATTCATAACCCCTCCTCGTACAAACACCAACTGCTCTCTGGCCAGCAGAGATTTAAAATGGTTAAAACCTCAGTGTTTGCCTCAAGGAAAAGTGCATGTTTTGCAAGAGAAAGGAATTCCTGCTCCACGAGACAAATCCTGACTGCACACAAGTGACTCCCCTCTTCCAGAACCTGTTCTTTTACAAGACACTATGAGAAAGGGACTTTAAAAGAAGTTACTTCTAACTAAAACTGTCATGAGCCTTCCAGCTCCAGAAAAATAAACCCATCTCCTACTCTGGCTGGAAATGGGGTGTTTTGATAGGAGACACGAGGAGTGCCTCCTTTATTCTTCCAGTGGACAATGCTGCGGCCAACTGCTGTTTTATGTTGTACTCTGATACTTTTCCAAGTCCTGTCTGAAGGATTCGATTCAACAGCCCATCCCCACCAATGGGGAATACAGGCATTTCTCATGATTCCTGCTCATTATGTTCAAAATAGCAACATTTATGTTAAGGAAATTCCACTGGATTTGGAAAAGAATCCAGAGAGGGATTCAAGCACAGAGCTGCTGAGCTCAGAAATACAGACAGACCAATCAAGCAACATTATAAAGTGTTTATTCATTTTTTTAAATATCAAATGTTTGTACACATCAATTTTGTTGATAAACAGTCCCCCAATATTAAAAAAAAGAAAAAAATCAAAAAAAGAATCAAGTGTGTATTACTTTGGGCAGAACCACATCCCATTCTCTGATGCCACAACCACTCCTCCTGCCAGCCTCCTGCGAGGACTGCTGCAGTGTTCAGCCCAGAAGAGTAAATGACACAAATGCAACCAGCTTTAGGATTCCTGAGTATTGATTCCCTCAAGTTCCTTAAGTGAGTCTGTAAAACTCTTAAGCTAAAAAGCATCGAAGAGTAACCCAAACTGCTACACATTTGGATCACGGACTAAGCCTTGTCTACACAGTGCAGGAAGAAATCTTGAACGCTTCAGAAGGGAATGATGTACCCAAAACCAACCCCACTTCCCAAGCTGACTTCTGAGAGAGGCAGGGATATACCTCTGGATTTCTCCTCTTTGAATTCATGTGAGAGTTCTGGGGAGCTGTTCAGCAAGAAGTCCAAGTCTGGTGAAGAAACCTCTAGGATCTGTTCCTCCTTTTATTTGTAAATGGCATAGTGTGTTAAAGAAAACTTACCTGGAAGTTAAGCATTCAGCAAGTACACTTAAATATTGCTACTTTTGAGGAAAGGAGACAGCAAGAGGGGAGACAGAAAGAAGGGAACATATTGAGGAGGTACAAGGTTAACAGTCCTGGAGACCAAGTGTCTACGTAGAAAGTTGAACATACGTAGCAACAAGGCAGAGATTGTCACGATAATGCAGCTCAGCTCCGTCCAGCAGCAGGTAAAACATGCCAGGGACCATCACCATGATACACTTCCTCCTCTTGTCACCATTATCTGTGCCCAGAAACTGTCAGATGTGGGTATTTCACTGAAAATCACCTCTCAGCTCACCTAGAGCCTCGTGTACAGAAATGCATTTAGCAAGAGGCTGAGTAAATTCCTTTGGCATCCTTAAGAATACATCCCAGAAACCCACAGCAAGAGGCACGACCACAGTGGCTCCAGCAAACACCCAGAAACAAGCTGTGCAGACCCACTGGGGCATGCCACAGGCACTGGCATCTTTATGAAGCAGCCTCTGAGTGTTGCTTTGCTCTCTACAGATGGACTTCCTGTAGTGAAATCATTTTGCTAAGCTGATGTAACATTAGTACATTGGAGCAGTGATTAATGAGGAGGGGGAAGAGAAGAGAGTGAAGAGAGGCCAGGATACATGGCTCCTTGGAAACCTGGACAGCTTTTGGTGTTGCCTTGATCCCCTGCTCTAGCCAACAAGCTGTAGCAGTCTACATAGAGGTATTCCCACTTTGTGGGCCAGGGATCAGCTGAGAGATTGCTAAAAGCTGAGCAAAGGATGTGTGCATACAGCAGAGAGGACACACATGCACATTAAAACAGAAGACAACTTTTAGACAACGTTCACTAAATACATGTTCTAGTACATTTTATTTTAACCTTAAATACTCACCACGGCCCCAGTTTTCTCCAATGTAAATCTTGCTCCTAAAAACCTGATTCTCTAGTTTAGCAGCACGTAGCCATTCACTCAAAGCAAGGCTCTGAAATTGAGAGATTTAAGTCACCAGGCTTGGACTAACTTGATCAAAATAGGTCTACAAGTATTTCTCAGTTGGGGTCAGGCTGTTTCTAGCAGTCCAGAGAAAGTTACCCAGGAAATTCTAGCACTACTGATAAATGCTTCAGTAACAGCTTTGGCAGAAGGGCAGATTTCAAAAATGATATCTGACAAAGAATAAATCTGAGCATTGAAGCAAATTGGCTGATGCTCTAAAGCTTTTATAGCATAATTTCTGTATATGCAGTCTAAGTAAATGAGGCCATAAAACTAGAGCCTTTAACCAGCTTGGTGCAAAGCAGCAGTATTTTGCCTAGCTATTAGCAATTGCTTCTAAAACCATGAAGTGTAAATACGAAAAGGGTATATACCACTGAAGAGCCACTATCTGATGCTTCCAGAAGCTGGCAGTAGATCAACCTGCAGGCTAAGGGTGCAAATTCAGCTCTCGCGCACCCGAGGGCCGACCTGCAGCTGGTGTCTGCACCAGATGGGGGGTTGCCCCAGGACCACCTCACTGAGCCCCAGGGTGTCAATCGGGAGCAGTTTCAGCTGGTCAGACTGAGGACACTCTGATCCGAGAGCCTCATTCTTGTTGCTGCTTTTGACAGTAAACCAGATGCAGATGGGAATGGGTCTAATACATCTTATTTCCTAAGGCTTCTAGAGGGAGATCTGATGACACTGTACTCTTGTACCAGCCCGAGCATTACCCTTTTCAAGAGGGGGCTTTCGCTGATTCGAGGTGCTCATTGCAAGGAGAATATATCCAAAAAGATACTTCAGCAGGGGTAACACTTACCACCTGCCCAGTGAAGATGATAAAGCTGTGTTCTTACCTCAGTAAGTCATTTTGAACAGAGCCTCAAGTAAATTACTCAATGCTGCTCTGGCAAGGGGCTCCCAAACAGCCTGCTGCCAGCATCATAAAGAGCAGGCTATGAGCTAAACACATCTGGGAGCCCCAGGCCTAGCTGGTACCTTCACAGTGCGTGCAAAAGCTCCATCTGACAGACAGAGGAATGCCTTAAAGCTGTTGGTTCCTCTAAAGGACCTTCTGGCTGCCCAAGCATCTAAGAAAAACCTGACAACCGCAGCTCACCGACACCACAGACTCCTGCGAGTTCACAGATGAAACCAAATTTGTGCTGGTTTGTCAATGCCACCCTGCATGAAAACAAGCCTTGCACACACGGAGGCAAATCTGCCAAGCAACAGGGAAAGCAAAACACCAGGAACACAGGCCAGAGACAATGATGACAACAAATGAAAGCCATGAACAAAAACACGTGTCCAGCTGCTGCTGACTCATCGCTTCAGGTTTAGCTCAAAGCAGAAGATTCCAGATGAACACTTGACACAAAGCCACTTCTGCCATTTGCAAGTGGGACCAAGTCAAAGTTCCTACTTCAAATTTGGTATCATTTTTCAGCCACACTTTCCTTCCCCTTCCCCAGCCCCAGCAGGGTTTTGGGGCTTTGCAGAACATCACAAACTAGTTCATTCTCCCAAAAAAACCCGAACATCTGAAAGGGCTTCCTACAGCACAGCCTTGGTGAGTCCTCATCACTCACCCGGGATGTCCCAGAAGGCCACGATGGTTAATGCAGAAGCCACATCAGTGCATTTGTTTCATAAACCCTATTGGGGAGCCCTCGCTCTTTGAAGAGGTATTAAATTAGTACCCACCAGCTGCTGCTGGTGCCCCACAGTTTGCATTTCCACAGCTGAGAGGCTGATCATCCCCAAACATCCAGATAAAACTAGTGCAAAGCAGATTTCTTCATCCATCTGATCACCCCCTGCTTGGTGCATAGAGAATGCATCCACTGAAACAGTTCATTCTTCCCCGGGCAGAGGGAGCCGTAACACATGGATGGTTTGTTATAATTCCATCATTTTGCCTTACAGTGGTTGAGCTTGGTTGTCTGGGGGAAACATGGTGTGGGGCAGGGCTAGAAAGAAAACGTAAAACGCTCCTTTTCCCTCCCCACCCCTACAATTAATACCAGCACATCTTCAAATAAGTTAAAACGTCTCTTTAAGTTTTGGTAGCACCAAATTCTATCCCTTCCCTTCTTCTATCCCCATGTTGTAAACTTGAACACACTGGCCCAAGAGCAGAAAAGGGTTTGGCAAAAATAGGCATCAGCCTTCCCTGTGCACACCCAAAACAGCACGTTTCCAACCCCCCCTCACCCTGTGTTCCTCCTGCAGAGCACTACACGTCTGTGGGCACCTACAGACCTTTAGTAGCTGCCACTATAGTTTCACAAGTGTCACAGACGTCAGGTTATGAAGCACAGGAGAGCTAAGCCAGATCCCAGAGTCCATTTGGACACGTGCTGCTGTGTCAGCGCCGCACTGAGCTCAGTGTGCAGCTCCTGTCCTGCACACACACCCCCCCAATTCACTTCACAACCTGCTCTGCGCCGGCCAGGGCGGGCACCTGAATGGCTTCTGCTTTTTATTCGTAACATTGGAGCTTATTCTAATCTTGTACATTGAAATAAACCCATGAATTTTCATCCAGTATGCATAATTAAAAGCTATCCTGTCCACACAACGCTAGGACGTTTTTGTTCTTTTCAAAGGCCAAATCTAACGAGTGAAACAGAAGAGACAAGTTACTTTGGCTGCAAAGAATTAAAAAACCTGGCTCAACATTCTGCTTGTACATCATGGTGTGTAATTTAGATATGTCCTTTAAAAGAAAAGACACCCCAGTCAGCTACCTCTTCCGTGGTTATGTAGGAACAACAATACTCTTAGCTAGCAAGATGAGAAGAGCAAGATCTGCATTTCCATCTGCTTGTTCCAAAGCCTCAAGAGCTTCCCGCATGGTAAAACCAGCACCAAGGATCCGATCAACATCAGCTGCAGGGAAGGCAGAAGCTCCCGAGGCAAGTCCACTACAGGCAGCTGGTGGGTTCTGCAGTGGTTCCTCACACCCACCCAGCCATGGACCTTCTGGAGCAGAACTGCTGCTTCTCCTGGGTGCTGCTGTGAACACGCTCTGAGAATCCTGAGGTGCACCTTCATCCACAGTGGGTGCAGAGGAAACAGACGGCTTCTGGTCCAAGGTGGGACTAATCGGACTCTGATGACCTCCTGCCAAAACCTCCTCCTGCTCAGAGCTCTGCTGCTGGTCAGATGTGGCTGCAGAATTCACCACAACCAAATCACTCTTACCTGAAAACTGAATCTCTGAAGCTCCTTCTCCCAGAGCAGACTGTATGTGACCACCAGACCCAGTGCTGATGTTTTCAGTGCCACAATCACAAGGCTGTTTCCCCTCTGCTTTTCCACCTTCAGACCTCACCTCATACAAGGAACAGCTCTGTTCCTGGCTAGCTGGATTTAAGCCTTTCTGCTTATCTTCAGAAAGCTCCTTCTGCTGTGCTGCTGGCCCTTTGTGAGCCATTTCCAGCTGAGAGGCTTCTTCAGAGGCAAGGATTTTATTCTCTCCTCTCCGACTGATAACCAAGAGTTTGTGAAGCTCTTTCAAGGCTGATGCAAGAGAGAAACATCGCTCTTCTGAAGGTCTTCCTGGATCCATGTCCAGCTGATGGATGCTGGAAGGGGAAGAGCTGCCTTCAGCCACCAACTGATTAGTACACTTTGCAGGAATCTCACTAGTGCTTTCAGACTGTGGAACGTCGCCGATGGAAAGTGGATCACTCAAGGAGGATGGAGACTTCAGTGACTCCACTTCCATGGAAAAGGCATCCAAGTTCAGGTTGGATCCACTTCTGTTCCCAGCCTGCTGCTTCTGCTCACTTGCTGAGCTCTGCTCTTCAGCTGCAGGCTGCTCAACCACATCTACTTCCATGAAGGCTTCCGTATGCGTACAGCTAAAGGAGGCTGACATTTGGATACTCCCTTTCCCACAGGAAAGACCTGGTTTCTCCAGTCCATCTCCTCTCATTTCCACAGGAGGATTTTCTGGCTGGCTGGCTTCTTCCATAACAGGTTTCTCAACCCCACCAACATGGCAAGGAAGTTCTGGGTCAGTTGTCTCAGTTTGTTCCTTCACGTGTTCCTTCTCTGGTTCTTTGTGTGTCTGATTGACTATGGGAAGCTCATGCTTCCCCTCCTGTTCTGAGGACAGAACTACATCTTTATTTTGCCCATGTTTAGCAGCAGTGTCAGCCAAACGATTTGCTTTTGTCACTTCCAAAGGATGTTCCTGACCATCGTCTTGTTCTTCAGCTTTACATTCCTTTAGACTGTCAGCAATAAGTGCTTCTTTGAGTGTCTTCTGTGAAAGACAAGCTGGATTGCAACAGGGCACCTCCCCTGGCCGGGGAGAAGGGTCGTTATTTGTCAAAGAAGCGCTACTGGAAAGATGTTGTGATAAGAGAGGATGTTCTTCTTCTGGGGTTATCTGGCATTCAGTTGAAGACTCCAAAGACTTGACAGCTCTGGGATCAATGGGCTCTGTGAGGCTGGATTCGGATGAGCAAACTGAAGCAGGGGCAGAGACAGAACGATCAAGTAATTGATTTGTGGGATTACAGATCTTGGAATTTAGTCCTGAAGACTGGACTGGATTTTGAAACCCATCAGAAGCTGGTAATGAGGGCATTTCCAGTGAGGTAGTTTCTTTGTCACTATTCTCTAACAGAAGACAGAAAGAAAGAAGTAGTCAGGGCATGGGAGAGCTGTGCTTCCACTGTAAGTAGAGAGAACTTATAAACCAGTGGCTGTAAATACCTGGTCTGTGGCCCACTCCAGCTGCAGTAAACACACACTACATGCATCAAGGCTTCTGACGTTCTGTTTGGATTAGGAAACAAACACACCAAACTTGTGTTAGCATTCAGAGCACACCACATGCATGGTTATAGTCCTGTGACCTCGCAGCTCCCTTCCCAACTGTCCATCAAGACAGTGTGGAAGCAACAGGATCTCCTCCTGTTCATTGCCTCCAGGAGTTCTGCCTGGGAAATTCCTTACGTCAAGTCAAAAATAACTCTGCTGAGAACCATTTTAAGGCTGTTCTGTACTATCTAAGCTGCAGAGTGGTCCGTGGGTGATACTACACATAGGATAAAATATACACAGCCCAGGCACATGTCTGGTTTGTTCTCTATAAGGCTGAAGATATTCAGGCGGCATGTTTCAGGGATATGAGAACTGAGCTGGCAACACAATCCCTGGGCTGCGCTCCCAGCAATGCCAAAACACCAGCTTGCTGCGAAAGGGAAGCATAAAGATCCTAGGGTGAAAGGCAGAAACCCAAAAAGGAACTGCTGGCCAAGGCCAAGGCTGGAATGAGCAAAGCGAAGGAAGAGGCAGCCTGGAGTCAAACCCAGCTCACTGCTTCCTTCTCCACCCCGAGAACAGGTGAATTGCAGATCTCTATCAGTAGCACCAAACACTGGCTCTGGTTATCAGGAGAGATTAAATAAGAGAACTTATCTTGCTAATAGTCTAATCTTGCTAATGTATCAGCTCTCACACTCTTGGTAATTCACCAACATGACCTTTGCAGTAGCAGCGCCTGTTCTTCCATTAAAGCCCTACTCTGCCCAGTGTCAGATATCCAGATTGTGCTGCATGAGTTGTTGCTTTAGTTCCCTTTCCCTTCCCAGAGGCCTCCAACCTCTGTGTTTTACCTGAAGTACTTCTCTTTCTACAAATACCCAGGCATATGGGGACAGCTAACCATGCCCAAGCACAGCCAAGAATTCCTTCAGGTCCAGAACATGGAAGAAATCTGCCTTTTTCACCTCAGCTATTTGTTTCTTTTATTCTCTGTTAAACAGCAACGATGCTGCAACACCACACCCTGATCAATATGCTTTGGTAGAAAGAACAGCAGCTGCTGCACAGAGTAATCCCTTCTGCTGCCTGCACATCTGGTCTTAACGCAGCTACAACAACTTGGGGATGCTGGAGTATTAAAAAGTCAAATTATCCTGCAGATCTGCAGACTGCTCATCTTTCATCCGGGTGGCAAAGAGGCTTCAGACACAGGATGTGGATGAACACCGGAGGGATCTGTTTCTGTCTCTATGCAGTAGGATTACGTTCACACACTCTGCTTCCAAGGCAATCCTTCAGAGAGGAAGCAGAACTGTCTTCTGACTCAGTGGGCTGGTAGTAAAGGGTCTGATCAGCCAGACACATCAGGGAGTTGCTGTCATTTAGACAGCAAGAGTAGCTGGTAGTCTGCCAAGCACTCCTCCACATCATCCTTCCGAGAGCCATTGTCATCCTCCTCCTGGGGTATCTACAGGAGCTGAATCCCAGCCCTGTCAAGGATATCGATCCAGCTAACACCGGGAACAAACTCTTCTCCACAAAGTGCACCAACAGGGATAAATTCCTCTCTATATTAGGAAAAACCTGGGTTGCATTTGTGGTGGCAGCGCCTTTCTTGTACCGAGGCTGTCGGGATGAAAAGCTGTGAAAGGGGTAAACTACTGAATACGCTTCCTAAAGCAACTGCAGTTCTGCTGCCAGTTGTGTAAATCCTCCATTGTCACCGAGCCTCCCAGTGGCAGGGGAAACACTTCACAAAGGCAGAAAAGAGCAAGCTCTCAGAAAGAGATAAACAGACGTGGAGGATCTAGATCACAGTAAAACATAGCAGGGCTCCACTGCCATCCCAGCTGCCCTTCTGTAGGTGTTGAAATGTGGGCTTCAGGGGATTAAGTAAAGCTCAAGAATAACCCAGGTGCATTGAAAATCAGAACTTTAATAGCCCACAGATGTATGCAGCAATGTCTGTTGTACCATCTACCAGAAGGCAGCAAAAATTCAAGCTGTTATGAAAGAACACAGGCCTTGTAGAGAGCTGAGCTTCCTTGGTGCTGCTTTACATCCTCTGCCGCTCCACCTTCCTGTTCTTTCACTTGGATTTCCTGGTACCATCTGGCAGCAACTAATAGTTTGGGAAGAAAGGAAGAGGGTATATTCTGGCATCTTTGGATATCGCCAACAAATGCCTGTGGGCCAGAGGCTTGTAATACATCTAAGACTTAGACAGAGCCAATCTAAACAAGACCTACCTTAGTTTTGTACACTGGTGTTCTACAAGCACTAAACGAATACCCAAAATGATTTCCTATTCTCACACATCTCTTGACATTCCTCTAAGGCTCAGCAGCAACAGCGAACTGCAGACTGATTAGCCTGGACAAGGCCACGTGGCCTTTAGAACTGCAGCTGCATAAGCAGTTTTAAGTCCTTTTAGGCACTTTTCATTTTAAAGCACTCAACTAAAATGCTTTTATTGTAAAGACTCATATTTTGGACCAAAGTTTGCTTTTTTATTTGACCCCTTCAGCAGAGAACTAAGTCCAACCAACTACAATGTCTGCAAAATTTTATCTGAAATAGAGAGATACTGCAAAAACCAACCCAGGCTTCATCAGGCTCAACATTTTAACAGGAAAAGCACAAATATTTACACCTGCACGTTTTCTCTGCAGGTTATGTGAGGAGACACGAGCTCAAGCTGCCAAGTCCAACCTTTAGTGCTGCCAAAACCCGACAGGGACAAGGTCAAATCTATGTCTGTGTTTCTCTCTACTTGCTGCAACTTAAGAAACATTCGAAGTTGGCTTTAAAAGCCAACCCTGTAAACCATTTCTTGCTGATTCATTAAAGCCAGGCCTTCCTCTCGAGGTTCTTACATCTCTGGAGAACTTGTATTCTTAGAATGGAAGATGACTGGTTAATAAAGGGGCCAGTAAGGGCAGTCCTGAGCTCCCCTTGATGTAACAACATCATTATTTGGAAGAAAGTCACCACTTACTCTTTGGGCTATCAAACAGCAATTGGGAAGTATTAAAGAAAAATGTCAGTGCATTACAACTGCTTATAAGTATAAAAATATATATACTTATAT